CACAAGAATTTAATGATTTATCACATGACTTCTCACAAGAACTTGATTTCTTACAAAAGTCTAATGATTATTCACAAAAACTTAGTGATTATTCTAAAGATTTTATTATCTTGTACAAAGAGAAAAGATGAACTTTTACTTATAAAATTATCAAAGAAGGTATTTACCCACTAGTTCCTACTCTCAAATATACTTTAGCATCTAATAAATATAAAATACTTGACAATTATATTATAGAAACTACCTGGAGTCACAAAAAAAGCAAACAGACTGTTAAGTTACAAATTAACTATATTTCTAGTATACTCACCTTTTATATCTATTTTGGACCCAAGTTTCAAAATTATGTTGTTTCAAATAAGTTGTCTAGTCATGTTGCAACATTATTGCATCAGGTAGAAAAAATATACATTGTTATTAAACTTTAAGATTAGCATTACTAATATTAAGAATTTATATTATATAGTGAATTATACCTAATAAAAGCTCAGCAACTTCTGGAATTCTTTTATTTGGTTTATAATTAAAAAAAGTTAGTTATAATCGAATAAGACTAAAGCAAGCCAGAATATTGAAGCCAGTAGAGGCACTTACAAACTCTGCACTTACCAAATATGCTATTAACTTTTCTAAGACAATACATACAAATTTTCAAACTTGTACAAATCAATTTTATCGTTTAAATAATAAACCTGTATTAGAATTAATTTGATATTCAGTAAAAAAGCATATACAGTATATGAAGTTAACTATGATACTAAAGATCCAAAAAGATTGAAACAAAAACAAGAATCAGTTTGTCGAATACAAGATGATAGTTATATTTCTTGTAATACTTATAGTCATCTTGCAGCAATTGAATCCTATTTACCTTGAGTATAGTCAATTTCTAAAACAAAAAAACAAATTATGTAAGATATAGCTAAAGTAGTTCCAATATCTGTAATTGATATACAGACACAAGCTCACGTAGATTCAATTGAAGAATCTGATATTACCAAAACAGATACTGTAGAAAATGTTATTTAATCAATTGGAAAATATAGATATAGAAGCATTATTAATATTCTCAAATTTATAATACCAAAATTAATTAAAAAACAAATTCTTAACTTTCCAAATATTAGTATTAGAATTACAGATAATAGGCATAACGTAGGGCATAAGGTCAAGCATGTTCTAATTACATTCGCTATATTTGATAATTTAGCAAATATTTACAAACCCAAACGTTATTATACTATTATTCTTTATTCTAGTGCTGAAGACTACAATTCTTTAAAAAATACAACTAGACTACTCAATAATGAATTGCATAAACTATCTAATAATAGTATTATTGTTAATAATACTAAATAGAAAGTTACTATTTACTTTAGTAGTAATTGAAAATTTTTATCTCTTTGTCTTAGATTTAATTCAGCAAACTCTACCTATTTTTGTCCATGGTATACAATATCTAAAAAAGAACAAGGCAATTTAGATCAAGAATGGACAATTGAAAAAAGAATAGAAGCATTAAAAATAAAACCAAATACATATCCTGAACACTAGCAGTATTCTTTATTTGATATAATTCTTCTTGATTATTAGATTGTTGATGAGCTTTACATTATGCTACAAATTACAGATTAGTTGTAAAGTCTTATACTTGCTGAAATTAAGGCTATCAGATTGTTTAATGATACTACAAGGGAGATTATTATACAAGAAATGAACAAAATTAGCATAAATTTTCAATTTTGA